GGTAGGAGTTTCAGTAGTTTTATGTGGTAAATAAAGATGTAATATTTGTTGTGGTGAAAGACTGTAGCGGCAATAGGTGGAGGGAGTCAAGAGCGCACCAGTTGTGGCCCTCGCTTTCTGGTAAACCCTAAAATTGGGTCCTCACCGATTAGCAAGGGTGGTGGTACTGGTTCGGGTATTGACTTCTGCGTTATTGCCCTTCTTGTTTAATTTGAATGCTGCTTTTCGACTTTTAATCAATTCAGTTATGTTTGCCTCTACTTAATTATTATTATTATTATTATTATAACTCATCAAGCGAACAAAATAGTAAATAATACAAGAGAACGATAAAATTTAGATATTTTTTATTTTTAATAAATCTAATAGTTTCTAAAGAAATTGAAGTTGGGATCATTTTTTTTTGAATAATTACAATTGGATTTTATTAATAATGGAATGAATTAAAATTATATAAAGAGAAAATTGGAGAGAATAGTCATTGAAATACTCATACAAAAATAAAATACTAAACCTAAAGATACGAAGAAAAATAAAATCATCCATTAAGAATGACGACCAACATCAAAACCCAATAACTTTCACAAAAACCCTTTGTCTATGTCGAATGAGACGCTTTACAAAGTGTAAGGAGTGGTGAGCGAATCAAACAATTTGGCAGGCTACTTCGTTACACAATTCTGATTCGGCAGACAACATTTTATCAAAGAGGGAATAGAACTATACATGACCAACTACAAATCAATCAGAAAATAAATGAAGTGATGGTTTTTGTACGAGTACCAAAACGACCGCAAATGTATGCAAAAAAAAAAAAAATATAAGGATCGTGCCATAAGAATAGAGAAAAGCCTATCACAATGACGTAGATTCTTATACAAAATTAAAAAGACTCAAGAAAAAAAAGATATAATATAAAAAAAGATAACTAATATTCACTTATAGTCGACAATTAACATTAAGATTGATATCGCTCTCGACTAAACATAAATCAAAGAAAAAAAAGATACAAAAATATTAAAAAAAATTAGTTGGGATCAAATTTTAAATTTCTGAAAAGGTATGGAGACATATGGCACACGTAATTTTTTTTAAATATAAAAAACATTTGGGAAGCTGAAATCAAAATGACTGAGTCAATGCATATACTTCTCGATAAATCAAAAATTAAGAATTCATATACTTCCCCTTCAACGGTATCTTACGACCACGACGACGTAAATTATTAATCTGTTCATAGTTTGAATTTAATTTAATAAATTTAATCTCTAATAAAATAATGACATTTATAAATATTGAGGACTAGATGTCTAGTTATACTATTTTTTAATAGCCATGAGGCTGGTGACTTATTGACAATACTTAAATAGTTAAGTTGTCCTTAGTCTAATTTACCCTTAATACAATAAACTTTGTCTACACGACGCAGACTTGTTCATAATCTTTTAAATATGTATGAACACGAATCCTTCTACTTTCAAAAGAGTTTTGCTCAATCATTTTGTGATGCTTTTTGGTTCTTAGGGTACACAATAGAAGAGATTGTTTTAAGATTTGTGGCTTCCGATCTATGAAAATGAGCGGTAAGGAACCAGTCAAGCTAGACGATGAGCAAATCGCCGAGCTACTAGAAATCTTTAGATCTTTTGATCGTAACAACGACGGCAGCCTGACGCAGCTGGAACTCGGTTCTCTTTTGCGGTCCTTAGGCTTGGAACCCAGCTCCGACCAAGTCGAGGCCTTGATACAAAAGGCCGACACGAACAACAACGGGTTGGTTGAGTTCTCGGAGTTTGTGTCCCTGGTGGCGCCGGAGATGCTGTCGGAGAAGTCGCCCTACGGTGAGCAGCAGCTGAGGCAGTTGTTCAAGATGTTAGATAGGGATGGGAACGGATACATTACGGCAGCCGAGTTGGCGCATTCGATGGCGAAGCTTGGGCACGCGCTGACGGCGGAGGAGTTGACGGGGATGATCAAGGAGGCGGATACCGATGGGGATGGGATGATTAGTTTTGAGGAGTTCTCACAGGCCGTTTCTAACGCCGCGTTTGATAATTCATGGGGATGATTGGATTTAGTTCAATACGTTGACTTTGTCTCTTTTGTGGTTATGTTTCCTTGTCACTCTTCTGGCTTAAATTCATATATCATTTGTTTCTACTTGTTTCTTACTTGTTACTTGTGTAGTTAACACAATATTTTTGTGTTAATCACATTTGTTATTTCAGGTGGTAGATGAATAAATTCTAAGGTTCGGAATATATGTTCTATTAGGGTTGAATTTGAATTTTTGGTAAATATATTTTACTTTATCTAAAAAAATAAAATTATATTTTATATATTTAAGCATAATTACAATAATACTTCTATCTATATTATTTTTTAATTAGATCCCAATTTTATAGGATAAAATTAATTGTATATATCTATATTTCTATTAAATCAAATTAGATTGAGTACGAGTTTTATATCAAAAGATGGATCGAATGTTTTAGTTGGGTAAAAGCCTCCTAAACCCGAATCAAATCATTCTATCATAATAATAGATATCTTGGGTTTAATTCCCTTCTTTTTGTGCATTAGATATAAATTAATGATTAAGTATAAAGTTTATGTTCAGGGAGTCTTAGGCTCACGACCAAGTACAAAACTTCTATATAGGAAGTATTGGATAGCGTTTGGTATTTACAAAGTAGTATTCATTTAAAACTTTCCTAACTAATTGATAACGTATATATCTTAATTGATAACGTATATATCTTACAGACACAACTATTCTAATCTAATTTTTTTTAAAGGGAACAATATTCCCATCTAAACCACTTAAAAAATCATGCAGAATCCGAAGCACCGAGTCTCTTCATAATAACAGTTTTGCAGCACCCAGTTTGGTGCTTCTTGTGAAAATTTGATAGTTTTAGAAGTCCAAAAATGGTAACAGAGATGGGGTTTTTCCTGCACTAGCGCAACATCCATTGCATTATATCCTTCGTAATAACTCCCTCGCCTCTCACATAGTTCAGCCTCGATGTGTCAGATCCATTGCTACTTAAATGCCTGCATTGAGTTGTGTTTCCGGCAGCACTTGGCGGCCGAATCATCATTGCAATTGTAGTGAAGGAATTGGCCCATGTGTTCGTCGATGATCTAAAAAGATGTCCAACAGCCACGTTGAAGGTGACTGGATGATTCGTGAAATTTTCAATGATGTTGAGTTCGTCACTTGTTCCATGTCTAGATATCAATCAAAACATTCAAGTAAACATGGAATATTTTTAGACATTTTCAATGAACATCCAAGCACCTAATTGGAAAGGCATAAAGAAAAGAGGTTGAATGATGTACAAATATGATAAATTTCACTCACATTCTTTCAACTTAAAAGAAAAATGTTGACCCCTTTTTACATTCATATGCTCGGTTATAACTCATAGGCATGTCTGTAGGGGAAGTTTCGTTAAATAGAACTAAGAATACACAGTATCCACATGATTATCTCAAACTGAAACCATTTCTCAGAACTAATGTGCTGGTCAGAAGAATATGCCCTGCTAGCAATACATGCCGGTAAACGTTGGGACTAACTCTGCCTCCTTATGTGACACTTCAACACAAATTTAAATCGTAAGAAACGGTGAAAACTAAGCGCATACTACTCCGCAAAAAGGAATCAAGTACAGAAATAATGGGAGAAATGCAAGCCATATCCCAAGTCCCGTGACAGTTTCAAGTTGTCCATTTGTCCAAACTAGAGTTTATGAGAAATGCAAGTCTATCGATGATTAAAAAAATGGAAACGGGCCTTAATTTGATTAACTATGACCATTTGTCACAGTCTGCAGACCTCAATTCTCCGAATTTCTTTCGGATATGAAAACAGACACCCAGTGGAGAAAATATTGAGAAAATGCTGTTAATAACTAATGACTGAAATTTTTCATGAATGTTTCAAGAGCCTGCTGACAAATCCATATTCAATCGAATCTCATAATATCATTTCACTAACTCCAGTGTCTACTGATTAAGGGTGAGCAGAGCTCCTCTCGAAAAAAAACTCAATTTGAATCGACTGAACTTGGAAAAATTTCAAATAAAGTTTAATCAATAAATAAACTCATTCATTCGAATAACTCGAAATTTTTTAACTTGATTAAAAGCTCACCCCTACCACTGATGAATAGTAACAACTCCTTCATACAATGCAAAAGCAATCAAAGCCTGAAAGATATCATGAAATAGATAAGAAATAGTAAAAGAACAAGAGAAATATGTTTACCTTGCTACAAAAGAAATATATAAAATATATATATATATATATATATATATATATATATATATATATATTGGGGCATGGGATGGGCAGTAGGTTCACCCCTAAATCCGCCCATGACCTTTAAAGTTTAGTGTCTCAAATGATATCGTTTTAGGTATTAGAATTGTCGTATCAAAATGGTGTCGTTTTGGTGTGACAGATCACGTCAACAACCGCTAGTCATGTTATCGTCTCGTTACCTATTTAACGACAAAGTTGTATAATGGAATGTAAAATTTAATTTAATTTTATAATTAACCAAATTAAAAATTTAAAGATTTAAACGAATAAGTGGATAAAGTTCAATGTTGCCGAAAGTAGTTTTCCCTTTTAAGAAAGAAATTATTTAAATTTAAGATAACGAAAGGTAGATATTTATCTATAATCATATATATTTTTATTTTTATTTTAAAATTTAAATTTTATTTCTGAATGTTTTACTAACAAAATTAAATTACAATAAATATTTCATGGTAGGATATCTTTTACAATCCTTCGGAATAAATATGAATCTGTAATATTAATTGGTATATTTATTTTTATATTAATTAATTTTAAAATTACTCTTTCCGTTTTCTTATAAAGAGCCGACGAATGATTAATGCTTACTTAAGCTAAGCTACTCTGCTAAACGACGGCTTAAGTAAAACCTAAAACACCTTTAAGAAATATACTGAAATAAGCGAAGGCCAAAGCGCATCTAATTCTAAGCCTCATTTCTCACTTTCCTCTCACTACAAACATGCAAAGACTATCCTTAGGCTCTCCCACCTCCAAGCTCCACATCCATGGTGGAGAAGATATTACCAGAGCCGATGATCACAAACGCCGAGTTATCATCGACGGCGAGGATCGCAAAGACAGTCAACCTCTTCGATTGTCTTTTTCGCCTTCTTCTCCGTCGTTGCCGTCGCCTCCTAAGTCTGAGAATCTCATTCATCTCATTCCTGTTCTCACTCTCCTTTGCTTCCTCATTCTTTACCTAAATTCTCACAGTCCTTCTCAATCTGGTACGTTTTTCGCTTTCTCCAACAGCCGTCGCCATTAACAGGATAGGTTATTCAAGTGTAATCTTCATCGTTTATTCTTATGTTTTTGTCTCAGATTTGGCAGATTTTAACGGATTCAAGCATTCCTCAAAGCATTTAGGTATAATGTAGCTTCAGCTCACTTTTTCTCATTTTAGTTATTGTATTTTCGGTTTCGCGACTTCTTCTTTTGCTGCTTATTTCTTTTTATGCTTTCGTAATTCACATATTCACGCGAAATCGGCGATTTAGGCCGATTTATGGAGATTCAGAGAGGCGATGTTTTGGCTATTCGAAGCCAGAGGAATTTGCAAGAGCTTGATAAGTTCGTTTCGAAGTATCGTCCTCACCGGAAAATCGCCGATTTCTAGGCGGCCTCCTTCAGTTTTCCATCGATCGGTTTCTCTCTCTCTCTTACGATTCCGATGTCGTTCATGGTCTAGCTGACTATATGCCAACACGTGCTGGTTATACTTGCACGTGAGAGGCATTTTTTTTTGTTGAACATGTATATTTAAATTGAATGTTAATTTGTTGGTTTGAGAAGCAAATATCTTAGCTGCCGGTACGTGCGCAGCTCCTGGTCAGTTGTTTTATCATCTTCCTTCACATAAATTATATTTTCTGTATACGATCATAGAAGATAAAAAATTGAAGAAACTTCGAGAACTATTGTTTTAAAATTTCAAATTGGCTAATATACGCCTCGTGGGTGGGGTGTAAGTTAGTGGGACTAACTAAGGGTGGAATCCAGCTGGAAATTCGGACCGTTATTGCTCCTCATGATGCGTTGGGGATGCTAATTGCTAGCTAGAAAGTTGTACTAATCACACGAACCTATTAACTGCTCCAGCGGTGAATATCTCAACTCTTCATTTCTTGGTTTTTCTATTACGCGTGTGATTAAAGTGTGTTTAATTTGTTTCTTATAAAAAACCACTTGTTAATTATTGGGGTTTTGATGAATTTTTAGACTCTGTTGGTGAAGAAAGCAATGCTTGTTTGGATTAAACACGTGTCAAAAGTTGAACACAATGTTACGTCAGCAACAAAAGCTGTCGGTGGTTACCCCAGAGTTCTATTGGCTCAATTACTGTTTGGTAAAAAATCATACTAATTGTTAACTTCCAAATTAACGATTCGGGGTCCCACGAATTCGGTGAAATTGAAATGAATGGAGCTCTTAAATTCCTATTATAAGCCATCAAAAGGGTTTGCTAACCAAACAACCGAGGCATCAAAATATCAAACCTTGATTAGATCTTAGCGTTTACGACTGAGGCACTAAACAAAATCCTAGCGTTTAAATCTTACCGTTTACTACCGTTTATGTATAGAACAAAATAGATTGAGAAGGTCGCTTTATAATTGGTTTATGTAAAATTCAATTTAAATTAATTAATCAATATATTAAATATCAGTGATTAATTCAAACAAATTTCAAATATATAAGTGATTAATTCAAATAAATTTCAAAGGGTTTGCTTGTTTTTAATTTAAACAAGGCTGCCATGCAATGTAGGTTTGACATGAGATTAGGTTTGATTGAAATCCCTAATAATCATTGGCACGTTTAATTTTATTTTATTTTCAATTAGTTAGAATTGAAAACAAAGAAAAAAAACAGAAGTTTAAGAAATTTATAATATTGTATTATGCGTACTCAACTTTAATTTCTTTTATATGAATTAACATACGATAATTTTCTTACTTTTATATACCATGCTCAAAATTATTTTAGCTTCATTTTTTAGGGTAAAGTATATATATAGTCCCCGAACTTTTAAAACTTACAATATAATCATCAAACATTTAGTTCGTTTTTAATAAGATCTCTGTCATTAACGGGATGTAACGGAAGGGACCTTACATAAAACGAACTAAAAGTTCAATGACTATATTGTAAGTTTTAAAAGTTGAGTGACTAAAATGCAAGCACACTAAAAGTTTGGGGACTATTTATATACTTAACCTTTTTTTAAATTGTGTCCTTTCACTCTTTGGTAAATCAAACAGAAGAAATAAGAATAAATTTGGATATGAACTTTGGACCTCATTTGAATCTCCGCATCCATTTCGGCCATATTTAACATTATTGGTTTTGTTGAACTATAGAATTATGAAACTTCTGCTAGTAAATTTGGAGTTGGTTTAATTATTGAGGCACACACTGTATAATAATACATCAGCAGAAGTCATTGTCACTTTCACAGACTTATGTATAATATTTTCTATATGATTTTTATAATATTTTTAGTCTCGTCCATTTTTTATCACTTTTTTTTAATTTTAAATTATCAACCCAAAATATTATAAAAAAAGATTTTTAATTGAAAAAATTAAAAAATTAATAATTTAATTTATATCTAACTGAAAATATTATAACTTTTATAAATTCATATATTTTTCAACATTAAATTAAATTATCTTTCTTTATACTCTCCGCAATATTTGGAGCTTTTACAATTTTTTTTTTAAAATTTATTTATATTATGAATGTAAAAATGTGTTTTATTTATCTTATTTTTTAAAACTACAATTGATATGATGTATTTTTGTTTTGCATGATAAATTTAGTCAATAAATTAGAATATTTTAGTTATAACGTAGAAAATACTTTTAGCAAAAATATTTTTTATTAAATAATAATATTTTATTTAAGCGATTGTAATTTATTTTCATATATCCTTTTTGAAGTAGTACTGGCGCTCCCTATAATCGATGATGAAGGGTTGTTATTTTCATACATAGAGAATTATACTAGTTCTGAAGCTTGTTTCGGCCTTGGGAACATATTCCACAAAAGCTACGGTCCAGATGACTTATTATCAGCGGCACATCCTGCATGACTGGAACATGTCGTAGGTTCGTCACCGACGAAGACATTACCGGCCTCCGTTGGATCGTGGTTATTGCAAGGGCATGGTAAACAACAAGGGAGACAATCACAGATCATTACATCTCTCCCGGAGACTGAAACTAAACCGCCTGCAGTTTAAGAAAAGCATACACTTAAGATGAAATTCTAATGCAAAGAAGATGAGGGAAATTAAGAGGACTAACCGGATGAAATAAGCAACACGACGACCCATAAACCAAAGTTGAAGGAAGCTTTCCCCATTGGTATTAATGTATATTATATGGTATTGAGGTCCAAGGCAGCTGTGCTATTATTTATAGAGTTGGACCGGACTTGTGGGGAACAATTCTACAATCGGCTCTGAATCATAATTATTATCAACTAATAATCATTAAATTAAGTCTTAGAAAACGCCGGCGGTAGGGATTCCTCCTTCAATCCCAACCTCTGGCCTTTTTGGATTGGATTTTATGATGTAATCTCGGCACTCATTTGTATAAACTTCAACAAGCGAGTACAGCCAAGTTAATGCTTTATATTCTTATTAATTTGTTATTATTTATTATTATTGTATCTGTCCGGCTGGTTTTGAATCAAGTTAATATTGGTTAAGTTTTGAAAAATTTAAAAGTTTAAGTACTAAACGTGTTAAGCTTTTAACGACGATGTACTAAAGTGAAATGAAAACTAGACGTTAGGTATGATTTTGAATTTTTTAAAAAAAATTTAGGTACTAAAACGGATCAAAACTAATTGTTTATGTACTAAATGCATAACTTACCCAAGAAAACATTGTTTTTTTTTTCAAATAAATAGTTTATAGGATGTGTGCGACTAAGAAAAATTCTGAAGAAATATTATCCTGTAATGACTTTATATTATTAAAAAAAATAAACTACACATTTAGTACCACAATTATTATTTTTGTTTTGTTTTTGTTGAACCCATTTTGATATAACAATTTTAAGGGCAAAAATATTTTTGGACTAAATTGAATTTATTCAAAGTTTTCAAAAATAATTCAAAGTACATAAAACTTAAATTTAAACACAAAAATGATTTTCTAGAAAAGAAGCACTGATAATATTCTTACAGTATCGATACCACAATATCAATACCACATGATATCGATATTGTTCTTGTAGTATTGATACTCTCATGGCAGTATCGATGCCCAAGGTAAGGAAAGTATCGATACTCTCATGGCAGTATCGATATTGCCTATTTGTTTTAAATGTGTTCAGATTCCAGTAGATATTTTTGGTACCGATACTCAAAGGAGTATCGAAACTACTTTGTATAGTAGTATTGATACTATGACCTCAGTATCGATACTCTTAGCCCAACGGTTGAAAAACAACTAGATTTTATTAGTGCAATATCGATACTCCAAGCCCAAGTACTGATATTATCTGGCCTAGGCAGTTTTATTTTAGCAATTAAGTCCCCAACGGCTCCAAAACATCTTCAATAGCCAGAAAGGGCCACAAACACATTCCAACGTATAAAATGAAGTATCGATCATCAGGAGAAAAACTCTCATTCTTTATTCTTCATTTTCTATTGTAAATAGTGTGTTTTCAGTGAGTTTAATTTGTAAACACCCTCCTTTAAGAGGTTTTCTTTTTATCCTTTTGAAAAAGGAGTTGCTTTCTAGTTTAGCCATTGAAAACTAAGGAGTTGTAAATTTCATTGAGCAAGTTGAACCACTCTAAATACTTGTGCAAATTTTCTATCATTTTCTGTCCATACTCCTAAAAAATTTTATTTAGCTAATTCACCCCCCTCTTGACAATTTTCCGATTGATCGTTAAAGCATCATAAATCCCAACAGTTTTGGTGACCCGACTAACTTTTTTCTTCAAAATTATATCTAACGTTACATTTTAGTTTTATTTTTATCGCCCATCGTCAAAAAAGTTAACATAATTACTAATATAACATTTTTTTTGTCTTTTTCAATGATAACGTGACACTACCTTATTGTGACATGCTAATATCACACTATCATCACCATTAATTTTTAAACAGTGAATAACTAAAATAAAACCAAAACTAAACGTTAGATATGATTTAAAAAAATAGTTTGGTGATAATAACAAAACAAAAGTGACAATTGGGGTTCTAAACATGTAGTTGACCAAGAAAAATTCTAAGAACTCTAAAGAGGCCATCTCCAAATTAACATCAATAGACACAACATATGATCGATCATGAGCCTTCAATCATTTATAACATGGTTCAAATTTAAAGTTAACACAAATTCCATGTATCCTAAACACCTTTTATAAGAGCTAGTTCAATCGGAAGAGTTTATATCAGTCGATGGAATGGAAATAGAAAATTGAAATAGCATGTAATGCAAAAGGATTTCACTTTGTTGCAGAATCTTAATCCCAAGTGAGGAAATAAACAAGTCATTGCACCACCACTCCATGCTTGGTTCTCCACTGGTATTTAAAGACTACAAAGTGCCATGAACAATGGATAAGGATGAGAGCATCGATTTTAAGCTCACTCAACGCCCCATTCGAAAAGTGGAGGTAAATATTATTAATCCTATGCTTGCCAAAATCCAAACCCAGGGCATTATTTCTTCTTCTGTTGGTCTGAAACCCTGGCTCCCATAATCTTACAAACGGGCTCATCTTTAGACTGCATAAGCTTTAGAGCAGGGTGAACCTTGAGGTCTCCCATTACCAACTTCTGACCACCATCCAACTCACTTAAATCAAC